AAATTAAAGCCGCTTCTTAACTTGACTTAGACAAAGTCTGTTGCAGTTTTTGTTCTGTTTGTTCGGTTCATCGGTGTGTAACTACTTTTGTGATAATTAAATGGCTCTGAAATGAGAGTCTCTATTTCCTATGGTTAACAGCCAACTATTTCTGTTTTCCATTCAAACTATTTTTAACGATACTCCCATTGACCGTATGCACTTTGCCATCAGCCAAAATTTGTCACTCTGTCACCCAAGCGGCATTAGCCTATTTTACTTTGTACTATCCTTTTCCTCTGCCGTGCGATCCAGAGACCATGTCCCCAAATTTTGTCATCCGACGTTCACCCCAGCTCCATCTGTCTTTGAATTGATTGAGTGCCTCCGAAAACCCTAATATGGTCGGAGTTGGGTGNGTCTCGGGCTCGAACCGGTGGGTATCAGTCTGTTCACCGGTAATCAATCATGGTAACGGTTACTGAAGGCGCTCCCATTTCACAAGCATTTCGGACGAAGGCGCCTAACCGATGTCAAACCATTCAAATGACCGTATCTCTGATTAGGGGGGAATGTAAAGACACTAGTACTTCCCTCCCCAAGAGTTTGCTCGCACCCCTTTTGTGTGATGGCATTTATAAATTATGATTTATCGATTCACAAAATGCCATCCAACTATCAAGGACTCAACTCAATCAGAATGGAAAACCTCGAGTAGCGTGCATAGCAATGAAAAATTGATAAACGGTACTCGTTTTGCATTCAATATTCAAATGAATTATGTGATCATGAGATAGGACCAGTGGCGCACGTGGGAAATGAAGTCATACCTAGAGGGTAGACTGACAGTTATCTGGTTTAAGTTACCACATATTTAAATTTCCCTGGTTGATATTCCATCCTACCCACCCACCTCGTTGTATTTTTCTGGCATGGTTCTCCGAGGCATAACACGCACACACATAAACAGTGTATCTTTTCGTATAATCCTATAACTCATTATTGTCTACAAGCGACAATAAGAAAAATCATTTGCATACCCTTGATATTGAAAGAACTTATATCAGTTGATGAGAGGGAGACAATGTTTCGTTACCTTAAATCAACACTAAGCGTTTTCACCGAATGTGTAAAAAATGCAGATACCATGTATGTTCGCCCGGCAAACACAAGAGCCAGTGAGCTTTTTCTTAGTATGCATTTCCTAAATGTTATACCGGGTGGGGTGTGTACCTCTAAAATGAGAGTGAGATTTGTCTATTCCCTCGCAAACGTTTGTGGGATAGTGTATTTGGGAAGCGGAGGGCCTATTTTGAGGGAAGGGAAGTGAACTTTTTTGGTCAAAACACAGAGTAGGCGATCTATCTGTGCCTACATACCTTCTTAGCATTCTAGCCTGATAGGCAATGACAACATTGTCACTGCTGTCGGTTCGCTGTCGTGTCCCTCAGTGTGCCCAGCCAACGAGCAACAAAGTCTTCTCAAACCCAATCTGGAAAGGTGCGCTTGAAGAAACACTTCAGCTGCCCTCGTGGCAGAAAACGATCAAGGAGAAAGTTATTGACGAGCCATTGTAAACTATTGTAACAGCAACTACTTCGCTGAACAAAAAACGTACAATCCGTGGACTATTTCCGGTCTCGATAAGCACTGCACAGGGAGGAAGCATGAAAAATACGACCAAACTATCGCGATTTACGGAAGTCAAGAAAATGGTGTTGGGTAACGGCAACTGCCTACTATTGTCTATCCTCGGTATCGCTTTTTAAGTTGACTTAAATGACTTCCTTAATGTGGGGCTGACAGCGGTTTTCGAACACTGATAGTTCACGTTTATTCGTCTCTCCCAGCGACGGATCGCCCACTTTCGTGCGCCGGCTTTGCTTGCTGTCTCATAATTTCCCATTTGGATAAAGGAGTCAAGGGGAGATTGGGATATTCAAATCACTGTCAGAGTGAAAATAGAGAATTCATGAAGGCTAACGTCGCAAAGATAATGAGTAGATTCACGAGTGCCACTGTTTGTTGTCTCTAACCATTGATTACGTTGATCCCGGGGTCCTCATCCACGAAGCCTATTTGAGCAAGTTTCCCGATCAGGGTTTTCATGCCCTCATACAGAGTCTGAGTTCAAACATACTAGTTTTTTTTTACCCTGCATCAGCAAACAGCACGCGTTGTGGTGGTATGCGTAGCACCAACGCAGTCTGCACCACACAGGATCGACCAGAGTTTCTCAGTTTGTTTGTTTCAACAGTATTAACGGTCATATTTTTCTTGCTGTATTCAGTACTGGGGTTCTATCAAGGACAATTACATAAATGCACCGTAATGCCACAAAATGAGTCCTTTTTAGGTCTTCCAACTCACATCTTCATTGAAATTATAAGCTAGTATCCAGACTGAAGTCAGTGGAAGTATTGTAAAATGCTGCTTCTAAATCGCTAGGATCACCTTGGATTAAAAAAATCACTAACCTGAAGGAGCAACGAAGTTACACTTTTATCGAAAGGCATATGATCGATCGACTACTGGCTACCAATGGATTACGGTAGAATGCAACTCGCGTAGACCACGCAGATATGCAACGCGTTGACTGACGTTCGTATCTTGTCCAGCGGAAATGGGTCAATGCATTCCCAACCGACAACCCGGATGTGTACTGCATCACGAGCAGGTATATTGGTGACATGGTCTCATCGCCATTGGTAAGGCATCTCAAATTTACACCTCACGAATGCAACAGAAGCACAAATGAACCTTCCACAACAAAATCCGTATCGGTTACAGCGCAGTGAATATGAATTCCAAGAAAACATAAATGCGCTCTCATTAGGTGTTTGGCCTACTGCTTCAGTTGGCTGGTTATAAAACGAACGCGACCGTATACGTTAGCTTCTTAAGTGGCAATAGACAAAACAAAACGATAACCAGTGGTTCCAAGATCCACTGAAAGTGATTTATTTCTACCATGAAAAAATACACTTATCACTTCCGAACGGGAATGTACCCGCTCAACTAAGATCACATTCACTGAGAAGCCCGAATGAACAGTTCTGTAGGTAAGATTCCAGGTGTGATGAGAAACAAAACGACCATGCTGTCATCGTTCTTGCTGGCGATTTGTGAAACTGTGAAACAACATTTACGGAATAATACCCGTTTGCTGTTTTACATTATATTCCTAGTTTATTCAAAGCAATCCGACCAACTGCTGACGGAATACAGTAACTGCAGATCATTCACAACAGTACTTATTCACAAATTGGGAATAGTTTGTGTCTATAGTATTAGAAACATTGTGTACGATGAGCAAGCACAAACGACCAAACCCATTACAGGAAGTAACGTGAAAAACAAACGACGTTCAAGGACAGGTACGTAAAAGCAGGCCCGTGGCTATTTATATTTATTGCGGCAAGACAATCATTTTGGGGTAACAGATTGAAATCGAGTTCACACCGGTTCATGTGTTTAGGAGTGCGATTGAATCAAGACCACCCAAACATATAACCAAGTGCTTTGGATAGCAAACCGGATTCCTTCGTTTGTCGGACCTGTGAACGGAATAGGGATACAAAGCAAGAGAACCATAACAGAGGCAGAGAATCCATGTATTAGTACAAATACGATGCGAATTAAGATGCACCAAAGATTCATTGTTCTGAATCACGATTGTACTACAAATACTTCTGTGGATAGAGAGAATGAATGGCCAGTGCAGCTTGCGCCTTTGAAATGTAAAACAACGGTTTAGGTTGCTAACTTTTGACCATCCAATCAATGGGAATAATGAATGGGAAAACGGGGGCAGTATCAACATAAATGAACAGAAAGTAAGTAAGTAAGTAAGTAAATCTGCGTAGAAAACCATCAGTTCAGCTCTTAAAATCATCAAACCTGCGCTTTCGTGGAGCGGTTTCGGTTGGTGTCTCATGACTACCTATCTGGATGAAGGATAAAAGGGAAGATCGGAATGTTCTAATCAGCGTCAGACGGAAAATAGAGTACATGAAGATCAGGATGGCAAAGAACTCCAGAAGATGCACGAGCGCTGTTTGCGACACTCAGCCAGTGTCTCAAATCATTGATTACAATGATCCCGATGTACCCACCGGGGGGGGGGGAACGCAACGTATGTAAACAAGTCACCTGGTCAGGATTTTCATCAAATCACGCCTCGTCTTAGCTTCACCACTCTTGGCTATTTTCCAACCACCACCTGCCTCAGCAACCATCGCGCACAGAGGCGATACATTCGATGACATGCGCAACACAATCCTCAAACAACGTAGTCTATGGAGGTCAACCACCTGCCCAGAAAACCATCCGATGGATCAGTGCTACTTTTCAAGGCAATCGGCCACCGTACGCGGATTGCCTAACCATAGATCAGGTTAGATCGATGGGCATCGAGTTTGCCTTTAGATGTTTCCCGTAATTATCGGCTGGCAACAGAGAAGGAAAGTAAGCCCAAAAGACCTAGAAAATAGCAGAAACGTAGTTTGATCTGCTTCTAGTTGGAATGAAATTCAATCAAGAGTAAAGAGGATAAAGGATTTCTCTGGACTTACGCTTGCTGTTCGAGACAAATAAGGTGGGCGTCCCTCACCAGTGAGCGAACGCATAGAGCTATGACGAGATACACCGCACGTTCCTGGAACCGGTCGTTCAGGTGGGGAAGCAAAGCTTTGACTGAGCAGCTTTTGATTGCGCAATCCAGCTCGAGGGGTTTCGCTCAGTTCTCGAAGTGGAGTCCCGAGCGGACGTGGACGACTGACTGTAGCGGGGGACTGAAAATGGGCCATGGAGTTTTCACGATCTCCGGCAGGATCGCTCACTTGAAGACCGGTGATTCTGTCATTCAAAATATCCTAAGAGTATCACAAAAGCATGTGGTAGATTATGGCTCGGACAGCTTTTTGACTGTAAGAATTGTAAGATGCCTGGTCAAGAACAAACACTGTTACGAATAATGTTTAATGACACAATAACTTAGAAATAGGATGTCTCGTGAATCCTACACACCGAAAGTCAACGGTGAGAGTTATAATGTATTTGCATACGCCCTTCTACAAATTTATTTGCACGAATACAGCAAAACAGATCAAGAATAACTTTTAGACGCGGTGCGGTCAGTACAAAGCTTGTCTACAACTGCCTAGAATACAAATACAAAGCAAAACCAAGCAAGTGTGGTGAAGTTCAGTATGTACTGTGCAAAACAAAAAGATTAATGGAATATCCTGAGGGCAAGAGAAGCATGGGATTGAAAGTAATCCCCATGATAAAACTTCGATTTTGACTATGAAGTATAACAGAGAACTACCCACAAAAATATAGGCATAAAAGAGGACATTCAAGCGTTGGAGGACACGTGAACCGATTAAAACAGTCAATACCGTGATTATTAATAATAACCATCCAGAGTTACGTTACTGAAGTGTTGTGAGTAGCTAGATTATTTATCCCGATTTTACAGTGTGTACCGGCGGAAGTTCCTTCGGTTAAGATCAATTTAACTACTGTGTCCGACTCTCACTGGAGGAAACGAATAAGTTGGCTTTGTGTTTCCCAACTGATGATGAGGAGTGCGAATGTTTTCTCGAAGCAGGTAAACTAACTGGAAAAGAAAACTTGGTTGATACTATTAACTTACCTAGGATCACACAATTGACTATTCTAAGGAACGACAAATGAACAATTCTAAAAGGCACTTACTTCATCCGAGCAAGGAGTCACGCCAACCATGATATTGTCTCCAAACACACGACCGTTTCGATTCAGTGCGCAACGAGCCTGTAATTTGTTCTGATATTTGATGTGCATCCAATTTCCATCATTAGTGATCTGCGATACGAATATAGAACTAATATTTATCAAATGCGACACAATTGGGTTCCTAGTGCAAGTGAGTTGAACTGCCGTTGAGGAAACGTTTAACCGGATTCTTAAACTGTGTTTTGTCCAACCAGCGTACCAAGGTGGGGTTGATTCCGTTTTATTTTTCATCTACCGGTAATTACATTACACTGAACAGTGCTGTATGAAAAATGACTGACTTGTGTTTTACATGACTGTACAGTGTAAATCCCACTGTACATGAAACTTTTAAATAGGTCATATACACAGCTTCACTACGAAATGACCCAGCGTGTGAAACTCTGTATTGAATTATGTTCGTTTCGTTGAGTGTCTTTATGCGAATTTCATCGCGTATACAGGAAGCCCCCAGATTACAGCTTGCTCACTGCAGCCCATCTACGGTGCACATCAACTATCAGGAATTTACCGTCAAGACTACTAACTTTTTATAACATGCCATCGTATGATGAACAGAGGAAGGGGTCGACCCCATAGCCCTGAGTAAAGCCAATACTGGTAAACCTGGCTAGCCTCAAGTTGAGGTCGTTGGTAAACTAGTGACACCCTCTCATATGACGGATCTGAAGTTCAAACACACGCGGGTTGGTGGACACGGTCTGATGAGAGCACGACTGTAGTCGAGAGCTTACAGAATCCATGGTGCAAACTTAAATGAAAGTATGAAATGAAGTATGAAGAAAACTATATTGTTTGACTGCCAGATGTCGTTGAGACAGGGAGATATTGTAGTTTCAGTTCAAGGACCTGATGCAACATAAAAAAATATGATCAACACATCCACGACCAGACCGGAACCTGGTTTGCAGTTCACGGATGTTGATCTCTTAAAGGAAGCAGATGTTTAAGTACGGCGAGGCTAGCACTTTGGTGATGATTGGGATCAAACTTATCCCACGGTGATTTGCGCAACTGTTGCGATATCCTTCTTAAAAATTGGAAAGACCAGTGATTCGCTCAGAGATTATGAAGAGCATCCTTGTGACCAGATTTCACGCAGTAAATCACTAATGAAATATACGAGGTCATCGACCCACCACCACTACCACTTCCTGCTGTTTTTCCTTTCTTCAGGGTTTGGATGCAAGAACGTACTTCGGCTTCAGTAAGAGGTTCACATGACTACCCACGGAGCCTCAACTACAATTGATGAGATGGTCTGGTTAACGCCCGACCAGCTGAACCCGTTGAAGTACTCCGCCCATCGGTCAAGCCCTTGTTCCCTATTGCAAACAGCTTGTCCACTTTTGCCGCAAATTGTTTCACTACCTGCGGTTCGCTGACTTCCTGTGTTGCGTATCAGTTGGAACTGCATCAAAACTAATGCGCGATCAGATTCAACGCAGGTGGCTCAACAGGACATACAGTTTTGCTAACGGTGGCTTGTGATCGATGTTATTTATCGCACCAGTTGAAATGTAGTGTCACGCTGCGGTTCGTTGAAAGGTGTGTCGGAAGTTTGTACTGGATAGGAGCAGATGATGATTCGCACCGAACTGAAGAAGTCCTTAGTCTGAACTCAGAGCAGTGTGCAATAGATAAGCCGGAGGTACACGGTAACCATTTGCACTAACAGACGATAACAATGAACTCACCACATGTTTCTCAATCGTCCCAAACTGAGCGAACTGGTTAAGAATGTAAGAAGCACGTGATGCTGGAAAACTGGGAAAAGAATAAAAATAAAAGCAAGTAAAATTTATCAATAAAAAGTACAACCAATAAAAAAATAAAAGTTCAATGTAATGCGAAAAGCTCTCGAAAGCGTTTCATTCAGTGCATTTAACTAAGTGCGGAACATCGACAGTGCGCATTTATTGGTCAGAACAATTTAAGTGATTTTCATTTTGAGGAGCTAATTTACGGACCACTCAATAAACAAATGGTATAGGATTGAATCGTCTTCGATCCAAGTCCAACAGAATCTCCGAAAATGCATGAAAATTTTAGCTGTAACAAACATGAACATATGAAGATGTTCACTGAACTGGTTCGCTTATATCCCACGGCGTTCAGTTAAATAATCTAAATAATCCACTGAGGTTTCAAGATACTCAATTATGGGATAAGGCGAAAGAGTGACCTTTAAAGCTGAATATATAAACCCACGATAAGTCAAAGCTGTTCGTCTGTGGAAGTTTAGCGCAATAGCAAAAACTCTTCGGAGAAAACTATACAGAGAACTCTGAATTACGCTCCAGAAAAAAACATAAAAGCGAAAGCATGTGGAAATATTTCCTCATTGGAAAACACACCAAGAGAATATTCGAGGAAACTCACCCGAATACCGTTACCCAACAGTTTTCAACCGCACGATCATTGTTGCTAAGTGAATGAGAAAAACAGCAGTCCGAGTGTGAGAAGAGTGAATATCTTAGCACCAACAATGCAAAAGTTGGCAAAAGGCGAATATGACTACGTGTTTTAACAAGTCTGATGGAAAACATATCCTTTACTTAGTGATATACAGACCCTATTTTTCACACTAAAATTAACTATTTCCCCCTATTTTTTCCTATTTTTCTAATTATTTTTATAATTTAAATTTCCGGATTTTCGCATCGGGAAAGACTTATTCCGCATCACCGACCATTCTCGACCCTCATTGGTTCATTTTTTTGTGACTCACCACTTTCAAGCTAATTTCCAAGGTCATTGATGGCCGGTCCCCAAATTGTATATAAGCGAATGAGTTGCCCGTATTCTCCGCCTTTTTGGTCGAGTCAAATATACAACCTCGCCTGAAGGTCTTCCTTCCTTCTTCTTCTTGGTCGGGCTTCTGCGATCGTACTGGCCTGTGGGTCGCTCCTATCGCTACTGTCTGGTCGCCTCTCTTTTGGGTACCGCAGTCGGGCCTTACGGAATCGGTACTCTATCGCTGGGTTGCAGGGTTCTGTTCGTGGGTCTCCGCTGTCACTGGTCGGGGCTCGTGTAATCCGGCCGTTTCGTTCAGCTCAACGTCACAACACTTAGTCGCAGAAAATTTGGAGTTTAACAGATAGCAGAATAAAGATATGCTGCCGCGAAACCACATGGGCTAAATATTCTTTTGTTATTGTTTCCCTGTTTATCTTGGTGCACTGCACGGCAGAAGACCACAGTTCATAATGGAAAAGATCAATATGTATTCCTGCCTTTGTTTCAGTATATATACATCGCTGTATGATGAGCAGAAGAAAAGACATCAATGGTCGCAAGGACTTATGATTAACTTTCTTTCGTAACCGGTACTCGCAGTTCTGGAACTTCGAATGACAAAGCACCCTAGGCCCCTTCGGGCTGCGTGGTAATGAATTGGTTGAGATTTCTGACACCGGGACTTCGGGGTGTCAAAGTGGGGTATGGAACCCGACAACAACAGAACCACGTAGCGTCGAAAATAATTCAAGTTTGGCGTACGACGAACAAGTGTGCCAGAAACAGGCAGTAGAGCCAAACGAAGATTGTTGCTATGTTGTGAGAACAACGAATCACCAAAGTTCATAATCAATGAAGTCGCCTTCCACTGATGGTCACGTGTGTCAGAAACATACAAATCTTTCACAAGTGCAACATGATACTCAGGCCACGTTCAAACATTATATATATATATATATTCTTAGTGCTTTTTACATGCATAAAATTATATCCAGCAGACTGTTGAGAAGAAAAGAACCAAAACGAAAACGTAATTTGTAATTAACCACAGATAACTGACTTACGCCAACTACCGGAACCAGGAATGAATCACCGTCTTAGGTATAGATGAAGAGGTAGGCTAAGCTACGAACAACGTAATTGAGATGATGATGCACCAAAAAAGAGACAGACAGAACCAGGGTGATTTTTAGAGTCTTATTGCGAAAGAAAAACAAGAACGATTAAAATAGTATTCTGGTGATGCAGCATAGGATTTCAACAAATACATACAAACACAAACCTCTTCGGTGTGTTGAGTATATCGATCAGGTGGTCAGGACTGAACGCACCGCCTGGTGCTGGTGACGCACCTACCAGTGGTCGGATTCCCGTTNATAAATTGATTCCCGGAGACCATACTTCGGTTTAGGTGACCAGGCGTGTTCTGTTGCGTACCACCATTTACATCCCAAACGTCCGAGGTTGGATTCGTTTTGCCTGTCAGATTGGATTGATTCATTGACCAAAGGCTCTGAGTCGGTGGGGAATTGATCCTTTTGTACAATCTATCCTATTAGCCATGCAAACAGAAAAGCAGGAAGAACAGATGACATTAAATTAGGTGGAAATAAGGTGAGTAAAATGAAAATAAACATCAGAAGAATTCAACAGGATACTGGCACAGTATACAAACACTGTAATTTTGAATCGCATTCAACAAGCGACAGATTATGGGGCTTATCAATTTCACTATTCAAAAAAATTTTATATGCTGAAGAAAATAAGAGAGTAGTCAGTTAGTTTATTTGGCATATTTTTTTGTATGGTCTACGTTTGTTGGCAGATTTGTACATAAGGCTGTTATATACAGGTACTGATGCATTTTTGATTTCCAACTCAACGGAACGAAGATGCCTTCCGAACCACGAAAGTGGAACGAAATAATTTACGCTCACTTACGGGTGCGTCGCAGTGAAATTTGTCTATTTTAAATTTAAGAAGTCTTGATGCACATTCAAGATGTCTCGGCATCAATGTATGATGACCCAGTATTAATTTGGAATTTCTCCCTATCACTTTGATAGGGGGAAATTCCAAATTGATTTTACACATCTCAAGTGGATGCCCAGATATTACAACCCGATACTCTGACATCTTGAATCGAAAAAGATAAAGATATGAACGATCCATTTCTGCTCAAAGACAAGCGTATTTCATCGATGCAACTGTTCCTAAGAAGTGTGAGCATTTTGCTGTTTAGCACTCCTAACACGCAGTAAACCTCACCCTGACTGGACGAAACGATTAACTCAACTTAATCCAGTCTTTCAGAACCCATGGGTAATGAGGAGTTACCTAGTTTACGATAAATGATCCCACATGAATCATTACAAAAAAGACAGCAAGAAGTTTTGAAGTATTCACTTAAGACAGGAGTGTGCGGACATTGAACGCGGCTAAGTGAAAAGGGAAGTTCAGTTTCAAAAATCCTATAACTTCTGATTGGTTGAAACTGCTTGTAAAACGATGAATGATATCCTATGGGTCTTGTAAACAGCAGACGTTCGGGAATATTCGTGATTGAGAGGAAGAACTAGACAGAGAGAACTAGACGGGGAAGGAGGGTTTTCCAAATAGGAGCCTGAGACTTTGGGGCAGGACGTAATTCGCGGTAGCCCACACCGACGAAGGGGTTTTTCTTTGGGAACCCTAACCGGAGCCTTTGATTCAAAAGTCTGACCCACAAGGCAGTGAGGCGTAAATCCAACGCGGGAGCGTAAACGAAGCACCCGTGTGGGAGCCTCTGGAGACCTGTCACGCAAGGCCTTCGGATTTCGATGGATGGTGTTGTTCGCTGGTGTGTTGATTATCGGTCCGCTTTTTGGGATCGGCCCTTAGCCTCATGCACCCAATGAAACAAGCGGAACGTGGACGGGACAGCATCTTATTGGCTGGAGGCTTCCCAGCTTGGGCGGGTAGTAGCTGTCCAATGAAGTGAGAAGACTTCTCTCACTGTCGAGAGGAAGCCCCCGATACTCCGCTCCTATGTCCGTCTAGCGGGGTTTTTTGACCGGTAAACCACCCCTCACCCTGTTTATTTGCAAGAGTGGCCTTTCCAGGGGCGGGTGTGGATTGATGAAGGAAGCCAGGAGGTGCCCAAGCAGCTGGCCTTGTGAAACTGATCTTCGTCTGACCTCTACCCCTTGACCTTTCAGGCATCATTGAATCTGCGGCTGTGAGGATCCATTCTGCATAGCTCGCGGGGTTATGGAGGCACGTAAGCCATCACACGTCAAGGTACAGTCTCATCGTGATGGTAAAGTGGGGTCCCTGGACGAATCAGAAAGGCTTCTTGGGGGACCACATGCAATCCCAACCAACAGAACGGATCGTCTGCTTCAACCCTGTGCGGACCGGGGGACGACCCTGTCAAGCACGAACTTCTCACATAAGAAACGACACCACCTTAGATAGAAACCGCCCTCTTCACAGCACTAGACCCAAAATGACCACATCGCCATCAGTTACCGCTGGAGGGGATCGATTCAAGACTGCCGCTCTTACTGGTCAACACCTGTGGATACGAACCACGCTTTTCTACGAGCCAAATTCTTGTTATGCCTGGCAAGCAACCATAAAAAAGCCACCGACAACGGATACGAACCATACAACGTCAGCGATTGTTGAAAATCAGCCACCAAAGCGGAACTCTCCGATCGCCTGTCAGTTCAGCCACCAGCCGAAGGACTCAATGAACACTGGAAGCACATCAAGGAAACTATGCAAATATCAATAAAAACAAAGTCAGACCCTCACGCAGGCTCAAAACAGAAACGGTGGATTTCATCGACCTCGATCGCCCTACTGGACGCCGGCAGAATTCTTCCTCCTGATGCCACATATGACAGCGCGCAGTTCCCTCAAACGCCAGCTCATCAAGAGTCTGAGGAATGACAGCGAGAAGTGGTGGATAGGAAAGAGTAGAGAGACGGAGAAGGCTGCGGCTATTGGTAATAATCGCAATCTTTTCCATCTAATTAGGAATACAGGCCCCAGGAAAATAGGCGAGGTAATTAAGGAATCCGATGGCACACTGATTCATGATCAGCAACGCCGTCTTGATCGATGGGCTGAACATTTCGAGGGTCAGTTCAACTGTTCCCCATCGACATCTGGACTACCATCCTCCACCGCGACTGCGCAAATACTGCCAGTTGATGCCAGTCCTCCATCTGAAATGGAGG